ATTATCATTGGGGAATTGTTGTTCAATAAGTGTTCAGAGATATATTGGCATCAGAAAAATTGCAAAACAGAAAATCACGTGGAGTAAACGAAAGACAGTTTGCATGATTTCACTCAACTTTCTACTAAGCGTCGTTACGCTTTTGGCGTCCGCCTGTATGGTCGTAATTCAATTTGGGTTCAATAACGAAGAATTTTGAGATAAGATCAACAGAAGCGGCCAAAATGAATATAAATCTCAATTCGTGCCCGGAATAGTTGTGATCTGTATTCTGTTCTTGTTATGTATAAATGTTTTAACTTTCCTAAGTATTTCTGAAATAGCCAAAGCGAAAAAAGAACAATCATCTTCATCTGGGGTGTCCGAAGCTACTTTAAAATTACATTTACGACAGGTGCAAGAATTTCATTATGCTACAAAGACATTTATATACATAGTTTTAGCTTTGAATATCACATTTTTGCCATCTTTGATTTTTATCCCTCTCGATATAAAGTATAATATAAATGTAACAGCAGAAACTACTGAAATATTTTCAAGAGTTTGCACTTTTAATTCATTGCTTAACCCTTTTCTGTATTTTTCACGGATGATAAACTTTCGAAGGGCGGTATGGAACGATATTAAGAAGCTATTTGGACATTCGTTTTGATATAACATTATCATCAGGAGGTATTTGAACATTTTAACACTCTGTGCTATACAGAGGAGGCTTCGTTTGTGTTTGTTCTGGCTTCCATAACTTTTGATGTCGCTTTTATTTTGACGTTGAGACAGAAAAGTTTGGTCAACCCTATTTGCAAAGGCTACCAGAATTTTATAGTTCGTGTGCAGTACATAAAAACCTGTCAAAATCACCCTTATTAATCAAATTTGGGTCAAATAAAAATACCTTTTGATAAACAAATCAGCTTTTAATCAATTCATGTTTGTTTTTTTTTTTCTTAAATGAAACTTCAATTACACCGTGTACCTAACGTTTTATTAGGGAACTATGTGGAGATTGTTTACCAATATGGATTCTGCTTTTAAATGAAATCTCGCGGGACTTTAAGTTTTGGGAATTCTAGCATCTATTTTAGTAACGAACCATACACTGTATTTAGTACTGTACAATTTTAAATAAAACAATTCATGATTCATCACACAAAACAATATGAATCCAACATGTTTTGGTACAACGTCTGTGTTTGAATAAATACACCGTTATTCATTATTGCAAAGCCATGTTTTGAATTAAAAATAGCAAGCATGGGTCATGCAAAGGTATCCGAACCTAAATTCTGGCAAGTCACGTGATGATTAGGGCAGCACTGGCGGCGAATTTTATGAAATGTAAATGCACTGATAAACTTTGAGGCATTATTTCATCAATCTAACCTTCTTTGTAAAAAAATATAGACAGAAGAGTACATGTACAACAAAATTATATCTAGCTACCTGTTTTGAAATAGCTTTTGTCCAGATATCGCAAATTTATTGAATTACATGACACAAGAAAAGCATTGATGCAAAGCATCAAAGGGCGTCCGAGCAAGAAATGCAGCAAGGGAAGATGAACTAGTAGACATATGATGACAAGATATTTTTATAAACTTTTCAATGGTTAATTGGTTTTTACCAAAATTGTATATTACTTATGAATGAGCGGACGAAAGAAATTGTTCATTATGAATTTTGATAGGCATGCTAGAGATTAGAATATTACTTGTTTTATTTCCCACAGGAACTTGAAATTTTATCAATATTAACGATAATATCCAAAATATACATGTCAATGATATTCAAAATATACTCCACATATGGTAGAAGTTTATTTGTAATATATAGGGGGTATTTTTGGATATTACGAATATTATTAATATTACAGATTTGATAGAATTTAAAGTTCATGCGATATTTTCTTTGGAACATACAAAATAGTAGTCAAAACCACAGACATTTGTGGTTTGGAGCTCAAAACGCCTTTAAAATCCAAATAAAATGCATATTTGTCAATCCCAGCACATGTACTGATCATATATATCTAAAAAACTTAATATAAGCCGTTTTGAAAAAAATTCATATTTCAACATCTATAATAATACACAAGATAAAAATGTTCGCCGGAAAAAATCCGCACCCCTACCGTCATAATCACCATGTATTTTATTCCATTTCCAATATTTTCACATAATCCTTTGGTCCATCGACACAGAAGATATAATTCTTCACGATGATGGTCAATTTTTAACTTCAACGGTAATATAAACAACGCAACAGCCGAAATAAACATCAATATTATCGCCGTTTTCCTTCAATGACATTATCTTTCGATAAATTCAAACGTGCCAGTCGGCTATGACCGAAGCTATCCGATTATGTGGCCCCAGCTTTGCCGTGTGCAAAATGCGCAGCGCTTTTAAGTTTGGGAACCACATAATCGGATAGCTTCGTTCATAGCCGTCTGGTCCATTGAATTTATCGAAAGATTTTGTAGTTGGAAGAAAACGGCGATAATTTTGATGTTTATTTCGGCTGTTGCGTTGTTTATATTACGTTGAAGTTGAAAATTGACCATCATCGTGAAGAATTATATCTTCTGTGTCGATGGACCAAAGGATTATGTGAAAATATTGGAAATGGAATAAAATACATGGTGATTATGACGGTAGGGGTGCGGATTTTTTCCGGCGAACATTTTTATCTTGTGTATTATTATAGATGTTGAAATATGAATTTTTTTCAAAACGGCTTATATTAAGTTTTTTTGATATATATGATCAGTACATGTGCTGGGATTGACAAATATGCATTTTATTTGGATTTTAAAGGCGTTTTGAGCTCCAAACCACAAATGTCTGTGGTCAAAACCAATAGTTCTTTAACATTTTGGAAATAATAAAATACATATATAGTATAATATTATAATTGTTATTTGTTATGGTCATAAATGTAATATCGTGATATTTAATAGCAACGGATATATACAATCACTTATAATCCATTTGTGTAAACGCATGATCAACCCCACACTTGTGTATTGTCCTGTATTATGTTATCGCTATTAGCGAAGACCCCCTCTTAAGGTATCTGTTCGCACTTAGTAAAAATATGACACTGGTTATATTTTATTGTTGATCATGTCGAGCATAATTGTTTTATTATACAATAATTGTAATATCTATTTTAATTTTTTTTTCATATTTTATGAATATTGTTTTTTTTGTGTGTTTTATGTGCTATTTTAATACTGAGTTTTAACGTTTACTACTTTTTATTAAAATTGTAAAATAAATAAATTCAATTGTCATATTGACCGACGATTATAAGTCAAATTTTAACTGGAAAAAGTCAGTAAATTATTGTTATTCTTTCAATATATTATATTTTTTATTCCTAAACCATGTACATGTACATTTGTATTTTTCATAAAATCTAATTTGTAACTTAAAATAATTCCTCAGCATCTTTACTAAACACGAATAACATATTAAATAAAATGTTGATGGTGACATATCAATACCGTAAAAAATGTCCATTTTTACTTAATAATTGTACATATTTGTTGATTTTATCTCATATAAATAAACTGAAGCATCCTATTGTTGTTGTTTTCTTTTTCGAATTGTATGTTTATGCATAATAATAATCAATAAATTTGAGAGATGATCTGTGTTTATTAATTATCATAACCAAACTAAGTGACAGACATTCATTTTGTTAAAAAAAACTTATTTATCTGTAACGATATCAAACATTTATTCCAAAACCGGGAGAGACCGGACAATAAACTCTAGTAAATCCCGGTCAAAATAGACCGGGAGAGACCGGGAATTACCGATAGGAGACCGGCGAATAGTACATCCCTCTATAAATAGATTTTCGGACTTTCACAATGTTAAGGTCATCATTCTATTTTCAGCTTTCGGATACATGTACAACAATACATACCATAATAACCCACTGTGTACTACAAAATGATTAATAAAAAAACCCGAAGAGCGCAATTAATTGACGGAAAAGATTATTTCATTTGAATATGTTTGCATTGCGAAATTCTCCAGTTCGCTATTCATTGTACATATCGCGACATTTCATTTTTATAATCAAACACCCTCATACCAATCGGAATGATCGGCTATTATGACCGACTAAAAGGCCCGAGAAGTTGCAATTGTCCTTTCACAAAATCTGATTTCATTCCATAAGGGGCGTCGCGCTTCGGCGCGGACGCCAATAAATATGTCACAGTGCTTGTTGACTTTCGATACGGGATTGGCTTCAGAGAACAGGTCTAGCAATGCTATAAAACCATTTCGCTGAAGTCTCTGTTTGTATGTAGCGTTTTTAACAAGTAAATGGAAAAATAGTAAATACTACGTGATTAGGAAAACGTCTGAGCTAAAGCAAAAAAACATGACAAATAGTATATTTCCTTTCAAAAGAACGAAACGCCTATTTTCATCCGAAAGAAAATTATCTTTATACATTTGGTATATATCTATATGATAGGGTTAAAGGTAAACATCATGTACAGTGTAACACTTTCTAAAATTCGAAAACTTTTGAATTCCGAAAAAAATTTCAGGGTCCTGACACTTCCCCTTTCCTTTTCTATGTAATTAATACCTCTGAATTACGGAAGTTCTAAATTCTGAATTCCGAACGATTTTCTGGTATATTTTTGGCGATATCAATTCAAATTTACTTCAAAAATCCGGAAATTGAAAAAGGTGTGAAGGAATATTTTACTTGACATTGTAAAATTTTAATTATAATGTGAGTGATTTTTTTCATAGTTATTTATTTTGTTAATTTAAACGAGAACCCTTGGACCTGTTTTGCTATGTATCATTATGCTTACAGCTTGATGTAAACAGGATTATTCAAAAACAAAAGAACATTTTGAGAGTACATCGCACTATACGATTTAAATGTTGCGCAATTAATATTTTGCTATAACATGTTAATATTACAAGTTATTTTTGAAGAGGTGATCTATAGGAATTTAAATAAACAAAAAACAGACATTTGAAATCTGTTTTTAAGAAATGAGATTTTCAAATACAATTTAAATGTTAAATAGGCATCTACTAGTAACATTAATGTCGAGGACAGATTCCTCTCAATCAGAAAATGCAGAGAAGGCAAATGTCCCTGATCAGACACAACTTCAATATATATAATTTTTTTGCTGCAACATTCGATGTTTTAGATATAAAGATAGATTTATTTCGGCAGGCAAAAGGTAAACATGGTACATGATAAACAAACACAATATAGATTAAAACAATTACAAATAAACAAATAAATGAATGAAATCTTTAAATTATTATGTAAACCATGACATGTTCCCAAAACCATTACCACAAAAAAGAGCAAGCTATTATTTCCATTGTGGTCCTTAGCATTTGGTTGCATGACAAAGAGAGGTATTTCATAAAAAAAATCACTTATTATAAGAAAAATCACATTAATGAAGGATATCATTTAAAATTATCACAATTTCAAATGTAAAGTAATGTAATTCATTAAAAGTCAGTGTCACATTAAGAAATAATCGTGTGCATATTAAGAAAAAATTACATTAAAACATTATCACAGTTTACAGGATAATTGCGATTTATTACCACAGTGACCATGGTGTATTAAGAGTAACTAAAATATGAACACACAGAAATGGGTATGTAAGGAAAGAACATGCCATAGATTACACTGTTCAATAAAAGATAAAGTTATTAAATTCTTAACAAAAAAATTAAAACAATCTTTCTAAAAATGAAACAGTAAACCTGAGCCGAAAAATAAATTCAATAAAAAAATGAAAACATATATTAAAATTTTCTTGCAAGAAATTTTAAGAAAAACACATGCTACTTAAAAAGTGACTTTTAATGATTACCTTAAAATGATGAAATTTGTTAATTTCAGTCATACAGATTGGAAGACTGTTCCAGAGTTTAGCACCAATAAAACTAAAAGACTTTGACCCAGAACCTTAACATTAGGAAGACAATACCCTCCTCCCTTTTTACTCAGTCTGGTGCAATAAGAATGCATAGATTCCTGAGAAACAAACCAATCACTTAAGTACTCTGGGACCATTTGGTTTTTAACCTTAAAAACATGACATAACATAATTTGTTCAACAAACTGGTAACCCATTAAGGGATTTAAAATGGGAAGGGCCAATATGAACTCTGGAATCAAGGTTTAGAACAAATCTCATCATTTTATTTTGTGTTGTCTGTAATTTATTTGTCAAGACCTGACTTAAACCATTATACCAGACACAGCAGGCATAGACAAAGTGGCACTGAATTAAGGAATTGACAAGCAGTTTTTTTGGTATGCTCTGTAAGGAAATCTTTCTTACGGTAAGGGAACTTTAACCTGGCGTTAGCTTTCTGAATAACTGAGTCAGCCATCGAACCAAAGGACAGGTACTGATCAATAGTTACCCCAAGGTATTTGATGGAAGTGGACTCTTCTATTGCAGTGCCGTTACAATTTATACTTCATATTTGGAATGTGACCTGAGTTTTTGTTTAGACCCAAACACAATGAACTCAGTTTTACCTAAGTGCAACGATAACTTATTATCAATTAACAATTGAATTACTGAAGACAAATATTAAGATACAAAAATTTTGACCTCAGATAAACTTTTTCCAGAAACAAGTATTCCAGAGTCATCAGTATATAACAACCGCTGACATGTCATTGACGTAAATTAAAAAGAAGAGGGGCCTAAGGATTGAACCATTGGGGAACACCACATGTTATACTTGAAGTAGAAGAAAAACTACCCGACACATCAACAAGCTGATGTCTCTCAGAAAGTTATGACCTAAACCACGTTATGGTGTCATCAGCAAGACCAGACGCTTGAAGCTTCATTAAGAGAATGGAATGGTCAACTGTGTCAAAGGCTTTCTGTAAGTCAAACAGAGCCATACCTAACACATTACCCTTATCAATTTCATGCCTAATGTAGTCTGTCATGTAAATGAGACAAGCATCAGTGGAGAAACCATTTCTAAAACCAGACTGGAATTTATTCAACAGCTTATTCTCTTTAAAATATGTTTGTATGTATGTAACTTGGTCACAAAATACCTTTTCAAGTATCTTGGAGACTATATTTAAAATTGACACAGGTCTGTAGTTACCTACTGAAAGTTTATCATTCTTTTTTAAAAGGGGGACAACTCTAGCAGTTTTAAGATCATCAGGAACTACTCCTTTGATAAGAGACAAGTTGACAATGTGGGTTATATGACCTGCAATTATAGGTGGCTCATCCTTGACAAAACGGGAAAGTATACCATCTAAGCCAGGAGCTTTGCTAGCACTTAGTGAATTTAAGTATTTAAAACAAACTTTGCTTTCACACAAAAGAGACAAAGAAAAACTATTAGGATAAACACCTTTTCAGCAAAAAATGAGACTCAGTTTACAAAAACTTGACCAAATCCGTTTACACATTTAGGAAGTTTTTCAACAAGTTTACAAGCAACAGTTGTATAGAAGTTGTTAAAAGTCTCAGCAATAAGTTTATTATCAAAACAAATCTTTTCATCAAATTTAATTAGATAAAGAAGATCTTTCTTTGATGGCAGCCCAAGATTAGAGAGATTTCCATAAAGATTTAGAATCATTTTTGAGGTGTATGGCTGAAATAGGTCAAATTTGACTACCAGCCACATAGAGATATGTAATTACTCTGAAAAGCCGATGACGGAATTATGTGATGTTGATTATACCTTATTAATGTTTTGATTCTAAACCATTGAATTAATTAATATAAATTAACTGTAATTAAGTGAAGGTAGCGTAATTTGATGCGCAATGTGTACGAGTAAATTTATAGCTTCCAAAAATTAAACTCTGCTTTATAGAGAATATATTAGTTAAAATGCATGTTTCAACCAATTAGTAAGAAATTTCAGAATTTGGTTTTCATCTAGTAAAAAGTTTCATTACGTAATATTCTATCCTTAAATGAATATTAAATTGGATAGACCCCAAATGTATTTCCTCTAGAATTCAGAATTAACTGATTTGCATTCGAAACTTTGACGTATATGCTGTCGTTTCTATTAAGATGAAGAAGTCCTGTTACATGTAAACTAGATATTACATCAGTAGCATTCCTGCTAAATTTTTTCGAGTTATATAAGAGAGTTTGTTCATAGTTTTGTACTTTTTTACAAAGTCGTAACGCAAAAAACCGTCTTTTATATGCATGAGCTCCTTCACCTCCTCCGGTTATGTTGAAATGAACAGACGCATAGACAAAGTATGTCTGACCTTCAGGAATTCTTATCTCACCTTTGTTGTAATGGATTAATTTATCGACGTATGAATGTTTCTCGTGTTTGTCCCAGTGTATTTTCACGTCTACACCAGGTTCTGTAACGTAAATGTTATAACGTTATTCATATATTAAATTCTAAAGTAGATCTATTCCGTCAAAGTCTGTAAATTCATATTACAATAGTATTTATGATGATAATGCACTTAAAAATAAGAACTCCGATATTGTGATATTACCTTTATATGTTTGATGATGGGAAATTCCAGAAAAGTACACAGTTAGGTCACCGGATGCCCGCTGTAAACTTTGGTTTCCACACGAGAGGTACCTTTCACTGTCCAAACCTTTACATTGATATTTATAAGATAAATTTGTAACATATGGTTTCAACAATACAAAAGTTCGCAAAGGAAGGACAGGTACATTAATAAATATCGGTAAACAAGACGCATGGGAATTAATTATTATACTTTTATTTCATTTTCAGAAAAATGTTATTGCAATAGATAGTATTTTACTATGACAATAACATATAAAAATATATAATTATACTTAATACTTTCAATAACCCGTTCTATCATTGAAACGTGTTTTTAAAATTGTTTACGCTCATAGCCCTCAATAGAACCAGTAATTGATATATGTGTCCCGGTATAGTAATGTTATCATATATCCATATATAAGAAGATAGTGTGTAGATAACCGGATTACCCACTCGGTAAAGCTGCGGGACGGTAACATATATATCAAGTTTAACAATGTTCTATGTTCCAAATCAAACATTACCTGACCCATCATTTGTGGTGTCACTCGTATTTCGTCAGATTTATTTTCTGGACGTATTTCAACGGTCGGCCATATACTTTTCGTAATATTTTCGTTTATTTTCATGGTCCAGTTGATTTGTTCATAGAACAGCTTGAGTATTTCTCGGACTTCAATCATGTGGAAACGTTAGCAGACGTCATTGGTGACATTTTGACCAAATGTAACATGGTTCAGGGTAGCGCTAAAACATTACCTATCCTATCAAGCATTTCACAAAGGTATCATAAACATTGGACGACCCTGTCTGGTGCAGTAAATTCACGTTATTCTTTTAAATACAGAGGAGTAGTATTACACTGCATACAACTTTTCACTCACAAGAAATAAAATATGTAAGCGACCGTTTAGCCAAGTCGTTTGAACCGCAAAACTCTATTCCAAGGTTCTTATCAGCCTGTCCATTGGCTTTTACCCTGTGACATTGAAATAAAAAAGGGCAGTAAGAAATGATGTAAAGTGTTGAAGGTCACTGGACATCATAGCAAAATGAAACCGGAGTGTTTTACTTACCTATCGACTGTCGAAGTCTCAGCTGCCTTTCAACAATCTATGTGAGATAATTAGATAACTCATAATAATATGCATATTAATAAAAGACAATTAACTAAATAAGTTTGTGGTATATGAGGAAACGATATATGAGCCGCGTCACGACAAAACCAACATAGTGCGTTTGCGACCAGCATGGATCCAGACCAGCCTGCGCATCCGTGCAGTCTGATCAGGATCCATGCTGTTCGCTTACAAACCCTATTACAAGTAGAGAAACTGATAGCGAACAGCATGGATCCTGATCAGACTGCGCGGATGCGCAGGCTGGTCTGGATCCATGCTGGTCGCAAACCCACTATGTTGGTTTTGTCATGACACGGCTCATATATAAACATATCAAATTCCTTTACTTAAGTACCTATTTGATGTCATTGATGACATTTATAAAACGTGAAGGTACTTCGAAATTCGATATATCGACCGGTATTCTCGTTTATAAACGTGAAAATTAAAGTCTTATGTTAAATGGCCAATAAGAAAAGGTAGGAGTTGTCAATTGTTCATTGATAATTCTCTTTATGCTACCAAATGAAAGTCTTCTTTAACACCGAAAACCTAATACGGCCGGTATTTGACTAAAATTAACATATAATGTACATGTGTTTAACGTTTAAAAATGCAGAAGCACGTCTTAGACCAAAGCACATTGATTACGACATGTATCATTCATATTATCGTATAGATATTTATTCACAGCGATGTTTTGCAAATGAATTCCATGTACTTTCTAGCCAAATATTTCTGTAATAATATTGTCATTATTTTCGGTTTTAAAACCCTATAAAGCGATGCTGACATTTCAAGGAACACATTTCGTACACACCCAGATGATTTCTGCCTGTTGAACATAATTTTGAATATTTACTGATCAAAGTCTACTGACCTTTTGTACAAAGAATGTTAAATTTCTTTCACTACAAACATAATTTTGTCTTTTGTCAAGAGAAACTTTCATTCCACCTTTCTTCGCTTCAAAAGTGTCAAAATCTTCATCGGGACTTAATGAAAGATCGTCACAATAGACAGATACTGTATTCATAGACATATCTGAGAGAAGTGGCAAGGTGTTGTTGATTTCCTGCATTAGAATATATCCAATTATAGACACCAGAGCACCAAGCATTAGAACCAAAAATACGAGTATTCCAATCACTATATGTTCACAGTTACATACACCATTATCGTTACCTGTTACATTTAGTTTCGTTTGAACTAAACGTTTCGTGCAAAATATTAAAACGTTTTTCAACATCACTGGCATATTTGAAATTAGGAGACCTTTAAAGCGCTCATAAAATGACTGTAACGTGTACGAGTTTATCAAGATAAAGCAGAAATGGCCTACAAAAGTGCTATATACATGTAGAATTGATCTAATCTTTCACTTTATACATGTACATGTACGTACATGTATTTTATACTATTGTATATGGAACGACGTAGCAATCTCAGGTAGATAATCATGTAATTATGTAGATATTAATGTTTGAAACTTACACGAGTACAAAAGGCTGTATCTGTATTTCGACACTGTTTATCAGTAGATAGGACAAGGTTAAATAAACGTGTTAAATTAACCGCGAATACCGTATATGAAGGATAGTCAATGTCGATATAGAGCGTATGCAAAAACATGGTTGCTATTGCTAGGGGAAACCAAGAGTTACTAAAGAAGTCAATGAATGCTATCCAAATAAATGGTTTCCTTGGAAGTCAGTGGCTTCTATGAAATCCAATGGTGGATTCACTCGTTGTTATCGACAAATAATGTTTGCTATGGAAGTCACTGGTTGTTGTGTAAAACGTCAGAGTTTGCTATAGAATTCACTGGTTGCTATGGAAACTTACAGATTGCTATGGAAAGTCAGTGGGTGCTATGTAAAGACGATGGTTTTTATGGAAAGCAAACGTCAATGATTGCAATAGAAAGTAACTGGTTGCTATGGAAGTCAGGTTACTATGAAAAGTAACCGGTTGCTATGAAAGTCACTGGTTGCTATGAAAAGTCAATGGTTTATATTCGAGTCATAGGCAGCTATGGGAAGTCACTGGTTGCTATGGAAGTCATTGGCTGCTATGGAATGTTTTTTGTTTTTATGAAAGTCAATGATTGCTATAGAAAGTCAATATTGCTATTGGAGTCAATGGGTTACAATGGAAAGTCAAAGGTTGCCACGAGAAGTCTATTGTTTGTAGAGGTCTACTATATAATGCATTTTGCAAAATATCTAACATATAGCCCTTGCAGTGTTCAAGAAGAAGATTTTAAAGGTATATATTCTATCAGGAAAAGCCATGAGCCCTTGCGGCGAGGTCAATTTTTACCCCAATGCTATAATTGAAAAAAAAAACTTGGTTGTGGTCTACTAAATCATGTTTCATACCAAAAACCTGGACTTTAGCCTTCACGGTTTTAGAGAAAAAGGAATTCTTACCCAAGGGAAACTTGGTAGCTTTATGCTAGGAACATCCAAGGAAAATTTCATCAAACTTGAGAATAAGTCGTTTGTATAAAAAGTTGATGACGGACGCACTTTACGAAAGATGGACGCCGGACAATTTTTTATCACAAAAGGTCACTTTGGGCACTTTTTTATTTTTTATTTAAGACTTTCTCATAATTGAAAACTTTTTTCTTCTAGCGGTAAGGGTTAAAGGAAAATGTAACTTAACAGTAGACATTCTGTGTGAAAGATACCACGCTTAAATCCTTTTTCAGAAATTAATGAACAAATTTCAAAAAAAATAAAATAGGAAAATTAAAATAACGTATATCTCTCTTGGACTTACAGGTAGCAAAACTGAATTTCTCTCATTTTACATGTGCGTATAGGCATTGACCTATTGACCAGAAACAAACGGTACAAGCTTGACTTTATTGGTGTTGGAAAGAGCTGAGTAATTTTGTTTTGCAGGTTGTTTATTAGTATTGTATAATTTTGACAGTGTTGTATTATATATGGGTCTATTTATTAAAAAGTACACAGAGCGTGGATTTGTAGTATATAACACAGACACGTATTGCTAGTTCTATCGTTTAATTACCAAGTATATAAGTGGCGAAAAGATAATGGACATGCGAATTACAGTATAAGATAGTATTAAGATTAAACATATGTATACAATATACAACAAACAGAGAGATCACAAAAATTTAAACAGTTATCTAGCAATCATTCAATCGACTACCTTGTAATATAAGAGCAGAATTGGTACAGGTGATACATGTTTATTCATATTCGGTTATCATTTTAATTCATTTTATAATACTTAACAGCCTTGCATAAAGTGCTTCAATACGTTCAACTTCATTGAATTAGTCCTGTATTATTATATGACAACACCAACCCAAAAATGCCACTCTGTAGAATTCACATAGGTGAAGAAAAAACATTAAATTTTACACAGGCGAAGGAACACGCTACCCCGTTTATTTTAAATAGGTGGACAAAAACCCGTTCTGTAAATTTTACAAAGGCGGACAAAACCCATCCTGTAAATTGTCAATAAGCGGAATCTAATGTCCCTAGACGGAAAAAAATCCGCCCTTCCATAAAGAAAGAATTTCGCAGTAAATATGATTTAATGCTAACAAACATTGTGTCTGCTGTTAACATATAAAGGTAACGGAGACTAAATTTCTAAACATGCCCTCGTTTTATTTACATATCAGAATTGATTAACAAAAATCAAAGTAAACAATGCTATGACCATTGATTGCCCGTATCGACAAGATAATTGTTGATGCTGATTTAATAAAAAGTAACAATAAAGAATGACTGCATACCAGTCACTCATATAATTTAACTGTTACATAAAAGATATATAGTACAATTCAATAATTCGAGATAATTAAGTCGTGCGCACGTGTAATTATGTGGTTCGAACAATATTACCAAGTCGTCTGCACGAGATAATAAACCAATCAGATAACACTATATAAATACATTGTATATGGATTTTCTCAGTAAAATAGAAATGTGTCATAAGACAATGATGCCCTACTTCGACAGTGTCGTATATAAAAATTATTGATTGACAATGATATTTCATTTAGTGTCATTGTGACCCTTCAGACCCAATGACCTCAACATTATTATATGTCATCTACTGGACTGCGCAATGTCCATACTAGATTATATAAACGATGGCTTAATCCTTCTCAAATTATTCATTAGTGAAGTGCCATGATTACCTTGACCCTCAGACATCAATATAGGTCATCAACTGGCATTGGGCATTGTCCCTACCAAATAAAGTAAATCAGGGCTTACTCTTTCTCAGGATATCGTATGAACAAGGTTAACAAGCCATTTACTAGTACGTACATACTATTCAATCTTTTCACGGGATGGTCCACACAAACGGTCATTACTTGGTCAAAATTAATTTCTGATTTATGAGCCTTCGATAGTGACCTCCTAATAGACACGCATCTATTTGAATACATCCAGTAGTTTCAAAGATTACTGTTGTATGTAAAACTTTACCAAGAATTTTCTAATATATATATATATATATATATATATAGTGTGTAATCTGATTGTTTAATTATTTTGAGCGCACGACTTAATTATCTCGTTAGCACCGCATAGTAATTCTAATTATATCGTGCGCACGATTACGTATCTATTGGCGACAACATAATCTCGTGCGCACCACTCAATAATCTCGTCTTTTATATCTTTATTTGAAAAATTGAAAAACAAATAACATCAAACATTGAAACAAATATTAAAGGTTACGTAATAAATGAAAAATCAACAGTTGTTTTTTTAAAAAGCAGCATAACTAATACACATGTAATAGAAATCGTTAACATCATTTTAACCTATCCTAACCAACTTCTATTAAGGACATTGATGGTGATATAAGTCCCATTCAGCGATATTATAAGTCATTGCATAATCGAATTTTCAATTTTCAGGAACATTTGTAACCAAAACCAGTAAATATACATAAAATTTAAAGCTAAATCAATGCAAATTCATCCAGAAATGTAAATGTTTTCATTTTATATTTTCATGGGTGGCATTATAAAATACTTCCAATAGAGCAGCAAATCTGTAGATATGCTATATAAATCTATATTATGTTACATAAGCGTCGAAAATATATTGTATCAGTGAGGACAATACACAAAAAGGGAGTGTTTGTGTATTTGAATTTATTTCTCCTCGCCACCGGTTGTCCATATGGGTGAGTCCTCCAGAAGAGTATAAGTCATTTTAGATTTTAGAGGATAGTGCAAGATACACTACAGACAGATGCTCCAATTCCAGAAGCTTCCTCTGGTACTTGAGCGTGCCAAGTATTTAAGCACTCATATACGGGACCTCGATTTAAGTCTCATCCTAAATTATACGCTTAATAATTTTAGTTGACCAGTCAGGAATCGAACCCACAATATCGAGAATACAAGTGCTCTAACCTATTGAGCTAAGCGGGCTGGCATAATCAGGAAGTGCCCTATGGGTTGTTACTTGTTTATCAGGATAATTTCCATCTATTTTAATAAACACACGTTGTTTAAAGGGGGGAAAAGTCAGTTTGGGAAAATTGAGAATTTTTTATAAAGTTTGCAGGCTACCTTAAACATGACTTTCAAGTTTTATTCTTTTTAGTTATCTATAACCTGCCAAAGTAACTGTCAAATATAAGTTAAAACAGACTTTTAAAGAACTGAAGGAGAGTAACGTTTACGAATCACAGCCCTCCCAATATTTTGTCGCACAGGCCAGTCTTATACGCACCAAATGTGACTGATGCCATTTAATAGAGAGGGAATTAATCAAATATTGATTCATTGAAAAGGCAAAGACGTTACTTTGTTACTTGCTTTCAAAGTTAAACAACATAACATTACTTTAATTTTGACTAAATATGATAATGTTCAGTTTGTTTATATACTTTCTTGTGAATTCACTAGTGTAATCCGTAGGAATTATAATACGTTATACAGACGTCATTTTATGTTCATTCGTGTATTGTTATTTAAACGTCAATAAAGATGCACAAGTGACGAATATACTTTATAGAAGAAACGATGTCAAAACACTATATACATTTGTATTTCATTTCATCCGAAACCCAGAGTCGTGTAAACTAATGACAAACAGGAATAATGAATTATTTAGATTATAATAGTTTTAAGGAAACAACGCTTTTACTGATACATGAAACAACTAATTTTGTTCTTAGTAAATAATTATTTATGTAGTCATTGTAGAATAAGCAAGCGTTTTTGTTTGGTTTTTTGAAATCATAAACTTTTGTAGCGGCCATCTTGAATTTTTCCGTCATATTGGATGTTCA